CTGTAGCAGAGTTATTGCAGAAAGCTGCCTCCGATCTGGTAGTCTGTTGCTTTGTTGGCTGCTGTGTCCTTGGTGCCTAGAACAGACCATGGAGCACAGCGGAGGCCCACATATCTGGGAGCGAGAACATTCCAAGACTGAGTCCGGGTGTTCTGAGATGCCTTCCTGCCAGGTGGAACTTCCTGCTGCAGACACCCTTTGGACACCCTGCGGTCGCTCAGGATCCCCTCTGTTGCCTTTCCCTTTATGCCACCTCCTTTCCCTTCCAGAGTTGCCATTGGATTCCTTTACTTGTACCTGGAGTGAAAGTGTTGCTTGGTTTTTAGATTCTACTCTTGATTCTGTCCTGTGATCTAAAACACTTCAATTTTCATGCTCAGAGACCCCTATGGAGGTCACAGAGGGTTGGGACCCTCCTCACCATGAGCTGTGTCACTTTTTTTTTTTTTTGAAAGCAGCAATAATTTCTGTTAGTGCTTATTTTCAATAGTATTTCTTCTTTTTGCCAAAGTATATTTTAATTTGAATCCTTTGGGCCAAGATTTGTTTTTTCGAAATAGATACGTATAGCAACAAACGGTTCACTCCTTTTTCTTACTGAGTGGTATTCTATTAAGTGGACTCTATTCTACCTGGATTATCCTCTCACCAGTTGCTACATACATGGATTGTTTTCATTTTGGGCTATTATAAATGATATAGCCATATATTTTCATTTCTACTTAGTGTGGAATTATTGGATTATATGATGAGTTTGTATATTTTTAACATTTTAAGAAACTGCTGATCTGTTTCCCAAAGTGGCTGCATCACTGCACATTTATACCAGTCACAGAGGAAGGCCCCAAGTGTTCTACGTGCTCACCAACGACTGGTATTGTCCCTGCCTGTGGCATCCTTATTTTAAAATAGCATTTTCAGCAACATGTTTGGTAGAAAACACAGGAGGATTTTGTAGTCAAATTCATTTAGGAAATGTTTATGAACTACCTCGCTCTATTTTCAAGACATATTAGCATATTGAAAGCTCCAAAAAGTTCCTCAATAAATGAATCCGCTTAAATTTGTTGATCCAGCACCCAGAACCTATTTGACTACATAGCACATTTTCTCTTACAGATGTATATCTATTAACATATATTTACATGAAAAGATTTGAAATCTTTAAGGTGTGATTTCAATGGGAGGAAGCAATAGAAAGGAGAACTTTTCTGTGCATTCCAAGCCTTGCCAGATGTGAGTGTTTATTAACTCCTCAGCAGAATATCTGGTTCTACCCAAAACATTAGCCTAGATCAGATATTGGCAAACTATATCCTGTGGGGTAGCACCCTTTATAAATAAAACTTTATTAGAACATGGTCATGTTCTTTCATTTACTTGTTGTCAGAATTTGGGAAGTGAATCACTAGATGGAAGATCTCTCTCCATCTCACCCTCTCTGTAACTCTGCCTTTCAAATACATAAAATAAATCTTAAAACATCTGATTTAATATTATGGTCATATTTTCATCAGAAGTGATGGGAGAAAAACAGCTTTTTATGTTAATTCGACTCATATTAAAATCTTGGATAAAGATGCCAGATGGAATCTTGGTGGTCACTCAAGCATCTTTGCAAAAGAATGTTTGTAAAGAGGTAGGGTGGGGGCAGATTCCATTCCATATTTCTGTCATTTCAGTCAAATATGGCAAATCTGAAATGTTCCTTTCTACCAAACTGAGTGGAAGAAACATTCCCAGTGATATTTTTATATAATGTATTGTGAGTTGAAAATGTAAAAATAAATAAAAAATTCTTTTATTAAGTAATTTTCCCCAAACCCAACTGTACTAATTAAGCTTCCATGAATAAACATATTCATAAATAGTCATGTTTGATCAAAATCAAATATAGGGCAAACACTTGTGTTCATGCACTGCTAAATCAAAGTTATTAAATAACATTTGTGCTATACTCTGGATTCCATCCACTAAAAAATGTTTCGGGGAAATGTAAAGATGGAATGTTATTTGAAGACGAATTATATCCCAGTACTTCCAGTTGACTCCAGCTCAGTGAAATGCAAATTTTATGAATTCCAATCCATCAAATAGAAATTTTACTATAAAAGGTTTTCATGGAAATAATAGCTGTCAACTATCAATTAATGCACACAGTCCCATTTTCCTTAAGTACTGTATTGAACTTTAATGAAAGGTTACTTATTCTATCAAATTGCTTTATACTTTGTAAGATTAAACTTAACCAAAAATTAACATCAGCATTTCGTGAAGAGAGCAAGCAAACAAACCCACCTAAATGACAGGGGCCTAAATGTTGTTATTGCATGCTGGGAAATACACTTGCACACACATGAAATAAAGGCACAGAACTCAGTGTTTGAACCCAGGTGATCAGAAAACTTAACCAATTCTGAACCGTGTACCTCTCATGTGTCTTTGCCTCCTTACTTGGAGCCAGGGGTGGTACATGGACATCATTTTTACCTATGTCCAGAGGGCACATGCTCAACTTGGTAGCAGCCAGCCAGCAAGGGATCCATTGGCTTGACCAGGAGCTTGAACCCACATATGCCAGTTCAAACCTGAATCCTGCCACTCACCTGCTGTGTCACCCTGGTCTAGTGGCTTTGTTTTCTGAGGCTTATAGTCTCTGTAAAATGAGAACAAAAACCTTATCTTTAGGGGTAGGTGTTTAGCACGGTGGTTAAGCTGCTGCTTGGGATCCATGCATCTCATTTAAGTGCCTCAGTTTGAGTCCTGGCTCCACTCTTGATTCTGGTGTCCTGCTGATGCACACCCTGGGAGACAGCAGGTAATGGCTCAATACTTGGGTCCCTGCCACTCGTGCCTTAGAGACTGAGTTCTGGGCTCCTGGAGGTGCCCTAGCCCAGCACCAGGTATCGTGGGCATTTGGAGAGCAAACCAGCAGATGAAAAATATCTCTGCCTTTCAAATAAAAACCAACCAAACAAAAACCCTGATCTTTGCGGATGACTGAGTGTTAAGGAGAAAAGCATAAAGACACAATTTGGAACATAGCAGGTGTCCATTAGGTGGTAACTGTTCTTATTGCAGAATCAGCCTCGGAGTGGGTAAGGATGTCAGTATCCTAAAGTAGAAAGTCACTGCCCACCCACATCAGAGGGGAAGGTCTTAATGAATTTTTGTAGGTTTGTAAACTGATTCTTAGATCTTAGGGAAGTAAAAAGACACATGGGCTATAATGAAGAGTGATTGGCAATGATTCCTGTGACCCGAGCGTGCTCTATACCCTTTGACAGTTCCCTAAACACAGCATTCAAATTTTCCTCCTAAAACCATCTGCATATCCATGTGGATTAGCATCGCGTGATGCTAAATACACGAATAGAGCAGAACCGGGAGATTTGCATTCTCGTCCCAAGTCTGAATACGTGTCCTTGGCTAACCCTTTCTGCCTCGACATCAGGTTCCTCATCTATCAGATGAGCAGTGGGCAGGTGGAAGTGGGCAGGTGTGAATGCCAGGGAGACGTGGGGGCTGTGGCCAAATGGTGAGCGCATGTCTCTCCTGTAGGGCTATCTCCTCGGTTAGCCTTGCTGGAATCAACCTAGTTTGAAGTGTCTTGGAAAAGTTCATGGAAGAGGTGTATTATGGGTTTAAGACCTGTTTTGCACCCAAAGAAACTTTTTATTTCCCACACACTTTTCAAAGAACCTTTCTTTTGCTATATTTACAAGAAAAATGAGAAATCTTGATATGCCAAGTAATTAGCAGTGGTTCTTTTGAAACACTGTGCTGTTCCAAGAACTCTCAGGTTTGAGGGCTGCCTGTTTAGAACGCTGGGCTAGATGTTTTCAGAAAACCCTGTACAGATCTGCACTTTGATAATTTTAGGGAAGTCTCCGTTTTCTCTGTCTCCTGTAATCCTGAAAAATGATTTACAAAACCCAAATAGATTTTGGCATGAACTGAGCTTAAATTGACTGCTTTCTATCATGAATTAATATTAAGCAGAGTTTGTCAGATGCTAAATATTTGTTTTAGGAATACGCACAGCCTCCACTTTCATCTGCCTGTAGCTCTAATCTCTGGCCTGTCAGTTGCCGGATATAGCGCTGGATAAATCATGCTCTTTCCAACAGACAGATGCCAGGGTGGCTGTATACAAATGAGCGATGTGTCAATGAACGCCCGAGTTTGGGTTACATCTACTATAAACATCGACATTCCTTTGCAATGAGCCCATTTGCTGGGTTAAGCAGTTACAGCTTTGGAAGGTTTGATGCTTCTGTGCTCAATCAGAGTCTAATGATTTCAGATGTTTGCAGTTAATGACCCATTAGTTTCATTGGTAGAGCTCCTTCAGAAAGGTTTAAGACCTGGGTCGGAACCACAGATGAGCTTTTCTCCTTGGGGACAGCAAGCAGCAGCAGCAAAATGGTGAGAAACTGAATTAATGCTTGTATTCACTGCTTCTCACCCTTCCTTCCACACACACTTGCTTTCTCTGTAAAACATTAGCATCGACCAGTGTCTGAGAAAAGAAGGAGATGGCTGAGAGGAAAAAGAAAGAAAAATTATTGCTTCGTGTTCCTCCAGTTAAGACGTGATCTTCTGAAAACTGGGATTACTGCTGGTACCAAGAAGTGACACTCTTTCTCGGTGTCTGCCCAAATCTCTCTCTCTCTGGGCTTTCGTCCTGTGCGCCTGTGTTTTATTAATTATGTAACACATCGGCCATCTTAGAAAAATGATTAATGGTGCTTCAGATACATGGAAATAAATAAGCCAAGCTTCAATATATGATTATGTAGGCTTGATATAAACCCCAGGGTAGCCATCTTTTACGAAGTGAGTGTAAGGAGTTTAACACCAGCCCAGCGCTACAGTACTTAAAATCTGGCAGCACCGTGAGTTATCGCCAGGCACTGGATGCTGCGTTAGATGAATCTGTAATTTGAAAAGTTAAATTAACCCTGAAATATATTATTTGTTGTCTGTTTTCCACTCAGGAAAGAGATCCCCATGTAAACAGACTTTCTCTTGGTGTCTGATGTAAAGAGTCATTCTGAGGTGAGCTAAGCTCAGATACTTGCTAAATTTATGGGGGCTGTAATTTCTCACAGCACAGAGTCAGTCTTTGGAGAAAGCCACCACTACCACCACCACCAAAAATTTTTTGAAGAAAATGCGGATGCTTTCTATGTTGCTTGTGATGTTATCCAACATTTTTAGATGCATTCATTGGCTTCTGTGGTCATTTCCAGTCACCCCACTAGACCGTAAACTACATGAGTCTGGGAATGTGGCTGTCTAGTCCATGGCTCTATCCCCACTGGCTACAGGACTCCTGCCACAGAGCTGTTGCTCAGTAAATGTTCATTGAATGAATGCAGAAAGGAATATATATGGTTCAAAGAAAATGACTTTGGGATTCTGCCTTGTCCTGGGGAATACATGAGAATATGGGATACTGGGTCTAATCTTAACCTGAGGAGACTGGAAAGGCTTCTCTGGGGAAGTACCATTTTATCAGGACCTGTGGGATGAAGAAGAGTGGGAGGGCATTTGGAGCAAAGGGAAGCATGTGCTAAGGTCCTGAGGGAGGGGGAACTTTATGTTTGATAGACACCAAGCAATCCAAGTTGGCTGCAGCAGAGTAAGGAGGGTGAGAGCCCTGTGATTGGAAAGAAAGCGTTGGGTCCAATTACAAAGTCTGTGGAGGGCAGTTTCTGTTTCTATCCTGAGAGAAATAGGATGTCCTTGAAGTGTCCCAGGTTAGCAAAGTGATCAAGCTTAGATTTCTAAAATTTTAATCAAATGAATTAGGAGTAAAATTATTATTTTTTAATAGTCAGAGGAGTCTGTCTTTAGTTTTCCTTGGATTACTTTACAAGAAAGAAAGAACCCAAATGATTCTTAAAGTCGGCTAAAAGAATAAAGAGCTGATGGTTGGGAGAGGAGACAAAAGGTCTGACGAGTCCAGTCCTATTCCAGGGGCATTTTTGAATGAGCCTACTTCTAAAAGCAGAGATTTTTGTATGTCTGACTGGTTTTGTTTCAGATTAAATAAGGAATTCTAAAGTGCCAGGTGTTCAGAATGAAGTTTTTCTCTTTGCTTCATTTGCATGGATCGCTTTTGCAAATTTAAGAAATTATTTGGTTGATGCATTCTTCCTTCAGTTGTATCACAAACTTGCCGCAGCACCTCGTATGTGTCATGCCTTAGCTGCTAAGGCTAGACACGAGCATAACAGTATTCTCTGTGAGTCATGTAAGTGGGGCTCAGAAAGTGTTCGAAGAATGGCTGGGTGATGAGTGAGATGTTCTCAGTCAGGAGTGGATATATAAATATCAGAACCTGGTCCTTGTTCAAACAGGTGGAAGACAAAGAGCTCGGGAGAAAACCCCACCACAGCATAAGAGGAACGGATCAGAGAAGACACCAGTGAGAAAACATTTGACTGGAGCTTCAGGAATGAATAGGAGTTCCTGAGCAAAAAGCACCGTGTCAGCAATGGCCCATATGCATAATCGCCCACATTTTAGTCATCTTGCAATTTAATAGTGTATTAGTTCTTATTTAATTAATATATTTATTTAAATAGACTTAAGCATTTTGCCTTATCTTAATTAATACTATGAAGCATAGGTTCAACATGTTAAATTTTATCTACATATAAGGAAATGAACATGCTATCGATTGTCTATTCAATGTCTATTTTTCCACTTCTGTTTTTTCTAACAGAACCTCAAATGGGTGATGGCTGCCTGCATGCCATCACCTGCTTCAACGAAAGCTGATTCCACTCCCAGCTCAACAACTAGAACCTAGTAAGTCTAAGCCATTATAAAAATTGTGGTCCCCTCTCCAGTGATTGATTCTGGGGAGGCCACATGACCCAGCTCTGGCCAATGAGAAGCAGGAGAGATGTGTTTGGCATTTAGCAGGAAAGCGTCTCTTATTCTTAAGGAGACACCAGAAGAAGGTGTTTCTGCATCCCCAGAGCTGCAGAAATTCACCTTTCCACCATGACGAGAGGCAGCTTGCTGGTGATGCTCACACTGTAGGATGGCAGAATGGACACATGGAGTCATAGATCCACTCTGCTCTACTTCCATACCTCTCTCTGTGTGATACCAGGAAAGACCAGAGACTCATTGTTTCAGGCTTTGCAGGCCAAAAGGCAAAACCAAGAGCATTATTTGAGTACTTATGTGAGTGCAACAAGGGGAAAAATGAACTTCCAATTTTTTTATTAATGAAATTTGAAATATAATTATAATAGCATATTTTTAAATGCTACAGATCTACCAGTGAGACAGATAGGGTTCTTTTCTTTGTAGTTCTCACTCTCATCAAATTGTAAAAACATCCTTGAATGGCAGACCATGCAAAACCAAGCCAGGGGCCAGGGGCCAGATCTGACATAGGCTCTAGTTTGCCAACCTCTGTTTTAAGGCAGTTTTTATTTTCTAGTTTTTACTGGTTGAAAATTATTTTTCCTAAATAAATTCTGCTGTTCATAGCCATGGTCATCCTAAAGTGCCAATAGCCAATAAACATTTCTTTGTGAATCAGCCCAAACCATCCTCCATCCAAGGATGAGCAGCAAACTTCGGAAAAGAATAGTTTACATTCATTAGATGCTTACTGTGTGCCCACTATTGGATTGCAAGTATCTGGTGCGTGTGAGCTAATTTAATCTTTGCAGACTCATTGAGTGGGTAGTAGTATCTCTGCCATTTTGTGGATGGAGAAATGATGTCACATTCTGTGCTAACAAGAGGCTGGTTAGTAAGTCTCTACTGCTCTGAGGCTCTGCTCTGGTCTTTCATTCCTATTTATGTGCAAATGAACCATATACATAAACCTGTTTCTGATTCAAACTTCTTAAACTAACTGGCACATTGTGGGGAAGTCGGATACAGAAACAGATGATGCAACTTTAAAAAAATTATCATTATGTTTCTTTATGGTTAAAGAGCATCTGGAGCAATTTAAGAAGTTAGAAGGGGAATAAGATGTTTTACAACATAATATGCCCCAGGATTGCCATACAAGTGGGAAACGTGTTCGTTGAATAATATCTCCATGCTTGGCTCTTTTAGTGTGCTTTATCCATATCTCACCAACATCACTGTGGTGACGTGGGCTCTTTATTTACTTAGTTTTGTAAAATTTTCTTTAATTCTAGTATTCCCGGGAATAAAGTAGCACTCCAAATAATAATTCACACTAAAAATGGAGAAATCGCACCCTCCACAGGGAGAGAACAAAAATAAAAATGTGAATCATTAAAAAGCAAAAAAAAAAGTGTGTAAATAAATCTGGATAATTATGCATCACCAAAGAAAAGCCGACTCCAAATGGTTCAGCATTCTCATCAGCAGCCTCTCTAATAATCATTGTAAGACTTTCAGTTGTTTCTTTTGAAATAATGAGCAGCACACATTGGAAAGAAAGTATATACATGGGCAACAATTTTATCTAAATACCGAACAAAATGGAGTGACTCACCTTAAGGTTTGCTGTTGAACCCTGTATAGAGAAAATTTTAATTTATAATCTGTCCCTTCCTTTAAGAGGTTAAGCAAGGGGAAAATACAAAAAAAAAAAAAAAAAGTTGCCTTTCTAACTAGACAATACATTTCACCCCAGCCTCCCCTGATGGTGGTCCCATCTGAAATGAACCCCTAACAGTAATGCTTCAATAATTAACCAAATTTAAAGACAATAATTAGGAATCAACTTTGTCATCCTTAAAGCTGTGTGGCTGCCATGAACATTTCTGTAGCTTTCCAATTACATTATAAATCAAAAGCAATCCAAAAAGACAGTGTGATAATGAAAATGCAATAGCTGCATCAGAAATTCAGGTATCAACGTTCTTTCTCTTTGCCGTCCCTCTGTTAATTTATTTTCTCAAGCAACGTAGCCCAGGACACATCATCAGAATGGGTGTCCTTTTACCGTTGGAAATGATTCTTGTTAGCTTAGCCAAGACAGAGCAGAGTGTGGAGTTTCTTTCTGTTCTTCACATACGTCCTTCCTTCTCTAGAATTTATTTTGAAAGTCCAGAAAAAAGAAAAAAACATGGATGGTGAAGAAAAGACTGAAAGGGCATTATGCAAAGCAGATGTAAAACAGCCTCTGTAATATCGCATGCTGCTATTGATCCTTTATTTCTGTCTTTTTTTGCCTGTTAAGCCAATCCATCTCATTCTGCCCCAGACTCGTATCTTTCTTTCCTCTCAATTATGGTAGTTCAACATAAAATTGGATCATCTCAAACATACTTACTGAGAAACAGGAAGAAAGATAAGTCAGATTTTTATTTTTACTTTTTTAAAAGATGATGTTTTATCTGTTGGAGTAGGTTAAATTGCTCTACTGTTTGAGCACATTCTATTTTTCTGCTCCTTTAAGAAGTCATCTGTGCTTCTGCTTCTTGGGTAGTGGCATCTACTTCATAACACAAAGAGTAGCTCTAAGTTTTGCTGCATATACATGGCTTTCTGGAATGCTTACACATTTGTGTATCATGTTCAGTGCTGGACGTCCTTAACTCTATGCTGGACAGAACAAAATCATTTTTTCATCTCCACTTACCCAGATGCTTGTTTAAGGATATTATTATGTATAAATGACATTGATCATGAAGATTTTATTTTATGTATTTTTTGAAAAAATATTTATTTATTTTAAAGGTGAAGATATGAGAAATAGAGATGGGGAGAGACAACGAGTAAAAGATCTTCCATTCACTGGTTCACTTCCTAAATGGCAGGAATGGCAGGAACTGGGTCAATCCAAAGCCAGGAGCCAGGAGCTTCTTCTGGGTCTCCCATGTAGGTGCAGGATTCCAAGTGCGTGGACCATCTTCCTTTGATTTCCCAGGTGCATTAGCAGGGAGCTGGATTAGAAGTAGAGCAGCCGGGACTCAAACTGGTATCCATATCGGATGCCAATATGGCAGGTGACAGCTTTACCCACTACACCACAGTGCCAGCATCAGTCATGAGGATTGTAAAGTCCATTTAAATTGGATACCTAGTAGGAAGGATCTCAGCCATTCTTGCCCTGTGATCTTGCAGATTTTTAAACATGATCCACTCTGTCTCTCTTTGCCCAAGGCTCTGACCCACTCTGGAGCATCAGACTATTTCAATCAAATCCTTTGGTTCGTCGATGCATCAGTAGCTCTGTACTGAGTATTGGCAATATCCCAGGAACTGTTCTAGCAACCAACAACACAATGATGTCCCAGACTGGCAGGCTTCCATGGGACTTTAGTAGGAGCAGCTATGAATAGAAACTCTCAAAAACCTGTGCAAGTGAAAAGTATTTTGCTGAAAAGTTAAGGAAGCCATCATTGGAAACTGCAATACCTCAGGGTATTTGCAACTAGAAGCTATTCCATGAAGTTGGAACCACTGTTTTACCTTCTCTGAGTGCACTCTGCTCTTGGTCTTCTCTTGTTCTCTAGAGTTTTCTTCTGTCTGAGATCCATGTTTTTTGGTTCTTCTATCAAGGGGATACTTGGCAGGAAACAGCCACCACAGTCTTGACTTGATGCGGTCCGAAGTCCTTGGGCTCAGTCCATAGAGGACATTCTTGAGGGGGACTCAGATGGGTCACGTTTGGTCCACGGATGTCGCCGCCTGGGCTAACCATCCCTTTTTGGTGCAATGTTCAGTGGCCACACCGCAGACATGTCTGTGGTCTTTTTCTCTGTACTTGTACCAGACTCTTAGGGCAGGAAAATGTGTGCAGGGAAGGGAGTCGAGAGGTGCCCTTAAATGTGTCTGCAAGCTGGGTGACTGTTCATCTGCAACCGGGGAAGCATTACAGACTCAGTTTACTCTTTTCCTTTGTTGTCACAGTTGTTAGATTGTTCTATGTGTTGTGCAAAGCACACAGTCTGTGTCGCTGGCCCTGTGGATTCCAGGAAGGATGAAACATGAGTAGAAGAGTTTCCCTCCCTCCATCTACCCTCCCTCCCTCTATTTTCCCTCCTTGCTTCCCTCCCTCCCTCCCTCCCTCCCTCCCTCCATCTACCCTCCCTCCCTCCCTCCCTCCCTCCCTCCCTCCCTCCATCTTCCCTCCTTCCCTCTATGCCTGCCTCTCCCCACCCTTATTTTATTTTACTGCATATTAGGATATTTCTAAAGCACATTAAATTCCCAATATTACAAAAGTAATATATGTTCAATGGAGGGAATTTGAAAAATAGAAAAAAGTCATGAAGACGAAAATGAGGCTCCTCATATTCCATTAATGGCGTATCACCACATTTACATGGGAAACAAAAATGGAACCTTATTCAACATGTTTCTTAAAAGTATCTTTTAAAACTGTAATACCCAGGCCAGCGCCGCGGCTCACTAGGCTAATCCTCCGCCTTGCGGCGCTGGCACACCGGGTTCTAGTCCCGGTCAGGGCGCTGGATTCTGTCCCGGTTGCCCCTCTTCCAGGCCAGCTCTCTGCTGTGGCCAGGGAGTGCAGTGGAGGATGGCCCAGGTGCTTGGGCCCTGCACCCCATGGGAGACCAGGAAAAGCACCTGGCTCCTGGCTCCTGCCAGGATCAGCGCGGTGCGCCGGCTGCAGCGGCGGCCATTGGAGGGTGAACCAGCGGCAAAAGGAAGACCTTTTTCTGTCTCTCTCTCTCTCACTGTCTACTCTGTCTGTAAAAAAAAAAAAAAATTCCTCAGAAATTTCTATCTACCAGAGATAACCAGTAGTACAGTTCGGCCTACATCCTTCCAGATTTTTGAGATATGTGTATACAAGTGTATATTTTTCTACACAATCAATAAATGTCACTCTCTCA